CCTACTGGGAGAACATGCTCAATAGCTCTGCCCACCGGAGGCTTCTGCACAGGTTTGTCTGACACACAGGCCTCAGTTAGGGACAACCTTGTGTGGAGCACAGGACTGCCAGACTAGGGCCATCGTGTCTTTGGAAATGAGAAATGGGCAAGCAGAAGCGGAGTGAGAATTGAGAAGGCTGGAGGTGGCTCAGTGACAGAGTGCTTGGCCAGCATGTATGAGTCCCAGGCTTTTACCCCCCAGTAGTAGAGAAATATATCATGTGGGGAGATCATCCTTGTCCCACAAATAGCATCTCATTTATACATTCAAGCTAGGGAACTGAGAAACATGGGGGTTTACCATGGTGGCCTGAGGGAAGCAGCCCCAACAGGCCTGTCTTGGTGAGTGGCTCATCTCAAAGACCCAGATACTCCCCCTGACCACTCTCCTTGTCTAGCTCTGGAGCAGTTCGCTACCTGATGAATGTCCCAGGGAAATCTGGCCAGGATGTGCTCCTTGTGAGCTCTGAGGCCTGTATGTTGCTGGATGGACAAGATCTGATGCCCAGGTGGACCCTTGGTGCAACTCAGGTTCTGAGGTATGTACAGTTGCTGCTGAGTTTGAGTGAAGATACATGCCTGCTCAGGACCTCAGCCTGTCCCACTGGCTGGCAGAGAGGATGGCCAATGGACTGGAAAGCCTGTGAGTTTCTGCTGGAGGCCTCTTACCTACCCTTGAATCTGTCCTTTGTCCCTGGAGGGGCTGCTGAAGCTACTGGTCACAGGTACCAGCCCCTCATCCTGGGTCCAGATGTGGGTAGCCACATCCAATCCAGGAGCATGGGGCCATGGAAACTTCATCTCAGATCCCTGTACCAAGACCTTCTGTGAGGTTTTCTTCCTTAATCCTTCCAGAAAACCCATCCTTGGCCACTACAAACCAGACACCTTGGCTGTGGTCATTGAAAATGGAACCAGCATTGATAGACAGGTAGGCTGGCTTCCTGTGTGAATTGGGAGTCTCTGCCTTGTTTGTGGCTGATGACAAACTGTGAAAGCAGTCAGTGCTGAGCCCGACACTGCTGTTCTCAGATGGGAGATGGTTCAGAGAGCAGCCTTTGTGGCTGGCATGGCTGAGCTACACATTCCTGTGCAAGCCAAGGCTGTCTGACAATGTTGTCCCCCCACCCCCAGATCCTACTTCTGGACCTCAGTACGGGGTCTATGCTGTGGAGCCAGTCCCTCCCAAGCCTGCCTGGGGGCCCACCATCCACAAGCCTGATGACTGCAGACCACCGCTCTGCTTTCTTCTTCTGGGGCCTCCATGAGCTTGTCGGCACCAATGAGATGGTATGGAGTCACATGTTCAGGGAATACCCCTTGTTGGGATCTGGGTCTCAGATCCCCCTGGAAGCTGGCAGGGGATGGACCACCAGAAATCCACTGAGGGGAGTGCAGACCTGTAGGGAGTGGGGACAGGCCAAAGGGAAAGTATCCAGAAGGGATAGGAGAAGGATCTTAGAGGTGGGAGCAGACATGTAATAAGGAGGGCAGGTGCTGATGAACGCTAGGAAGGACCATGTCCAGGTTGGGGAGGCAGAGGCTGGCAGGTATTTGTTCATGGAACAGGAAGTAGCTTTCTGGGGGACCGTGGTAGATACAGTTCTAAACAAGGTATTTATTTGGGTAACAACAGCTGAAGGCTGCCCAGGAAGGTTCTAGGGCCCACTGAGATGTGGCTGTGACCCCAGGGCAACGGGTGAGTGAGGCTCATTGCTGTTCTCCCTTTAGGATCCCCAAGACATGCAGCTCAGCCTGTACATGTTCCACCCCACCCTGCCTGGCATCCTGCTGGAGCTAGCCAATGTGTCTGCCAACATCGTGGCCTTCGATGGTGAGCATGGGCTCAGGCACTGGGTCCAGGTCTTCCCCAGCTTAGTTTGCTCTGGCTAGTCCTGAGCAGCATTGACTGTCTCCACAGCGATCCTGTTTGAGCCAAGCCGCCATGCTGCCTATGTGCTCCTGACGGGCCCAGCAAGTGCAGACATGCCTGGCCTGGTGTCTGTGATCAAACACAAAGTGCGAGACCTTGTCCCAGGCAGTAGAGTGGTCCACCTGGGTGAAGGCAGCTCAGACAGCGACCAAGCCATCCGGGACCGGTTCTCCCGACTACGGTACCGGAGTGAGGTTTAGGTGGGCGCAGCTGGAGCACATGGAGAGACTCCAACGGTGAAAACACAGCCTCCAGGAAAGTTGGACTACCCTCAGCCTCCATGCTGACCTCACTACTTGCCCTGGTGATTCTGCCCCTCTGGGATCTATGTCCTTACCAGCTATACCCAAGGATTTGGGGGGGGGGGCACCTCCAATCTCCTGCCTGTACCATGTATTCTCTCAAAGGTCTCACTGTGCAGTCCATATGATCTGGTCAAGGCCAGTAGGTCTCCCTGAGGCCTACTTCAGAGCCAGCCCTTCAGGAAGCCCCCCACTTAGTGCCTCCGTACCCTCTCACTCTTCACTGAAAAAGCCACTGCTATGGGGTGTGTTGTTCCCTAAGCCCTGCCTGTGATGTCTGTCCCTCTCCTTCCAGCCTGGCTCTTCCCTTATGTGCACTGTCTCAGGAGTCATGGAGCTCAGAGGGTAGTGGGCCCTGGGCAGCTTCAGGGCTGCAGCTGGGACCTGAAACTCTGAACCTGATTTTCCAAGGCAGCGGGGACCATGTCTCCTGGAAAGTGAGCAAGAGTTTTACCAGCAAGTTTTTCAGAAGGAGGCCTGTACTGGAGCCTATAGGGTGCATTTGAGGGACTTATAGAATACACATTGAGTTTGTCTCTTCCACCAGTACACCGGACCTGCTGTCTGCACAGAAGTCCCCACACCCCTGAGCACAGCAGGCATGTCCCTTCTCCTACTCTCTGGTGCTTACCTGATGCAGGTCTCACCTTGTGCCTTGTTGCTCCTGAGGCCCAAGGGCAATAAAGTGGCTCTGCCCAGACCAGATCCCTAGCTCTGTAGCCAAAGCAGTCCCATGACCCTAGCCACCATGGAAAACAACATAATAAATGATTTGCACTGATTGGAAAAAGCCCCAGGAGCCCAGTGTGAGCCTGCAATCTGTTTTGATATCTCTCTGCTTGCAATAAACAGAGCGGGGAGTTTCTAAGTCATTACCAGGAATTGCCAGGCCTCAAGCCAAAGTTAAGAGGGCAGTTGAGGAGATGAGAGCTCTACACAGACCTGCCTGATAGGAACAAGCCTGTGGTCTTCTCACAGCCTCTAGGATGGTCACCAGGACAGAGGCTCCTGTCGTGGCAGGCATCATGTTCTCTGTGTTGTTATGCAATGCAATGTAATGGGTAGTCAGGTGAGCCCTGGCTGTCACTGTATAGGGGAACCTGGGAGGGCTTCAGGACCTGCCCTGGGAGTATCCATCCTTCTGAGGACCCTTTGGAGTTTGCTCAACATAAACTTGTTCTCATAACTGTACATGGACAAAACTCTTGCGTGTGTACAACATGAGGGCTGAGGTTGATGGGTAGGTGTTTTCAAGGCAGGAAGTGGGTCCCTCAACTCTGGGGACTAAAGGTAACTCAGCACACACATCACCTTGAGGAGAAAGGGCGATGGGGGAGAAGGGTGTAACTCCAGATTCCAGGAGCTGGCTCTTCACTGAACAGGATCAGGGGCAGGGTCCAAGGGCAGCCACCCCTCTGGGGGCCAGGCTGGGTTGTGTGCCCCGCCCTACTCCCCAGAGGCCCCCTAGTGGCTGCTGAGGACAGTGACCTGTTTATGGTCATTAAGAGGCCAGGCAGTTTCCCCTTTAGCATGCCCAAAGTTTCTTAGGGTTCCAGGACTCGCTTTGGGTCTTGTGTCCTGCAGCTGGGAACATCTGCGCACATCTGCTCCAGGGGACATGGGACAGATGGCAGCATCCTGTCTGCTCACAGCTTCTTTTCTTTTCTTTTTTTTAAAGATTTTATTTATTATGTATACAATGTTCTGTCTGCATGTTGCCTGCAGGCTGGAAAGAGGGCACCATATCTCATTATAGATGGTTGTGAGCCACCATGTGGTGGCTGGAAATTCAACTCAGGACCTCTGGAAGAGCAGTCAGTGCTCTTAACCTCTGAGCCATCTCTCCAGACCCCTGCTCACAGCTTCTTTTTTTGTTTTGTTTTGCTTATTTGTTTGTTTTTGTTTTGTTTTTCAAGACAGGGTTTCTCTGTGTAGCTTTGGAGCCTGATGCTCTGGAGACCAGGCTGGCCTTGAACTCACAGAGATCAGCCTGCCTCTGCCTCTGCCTCCCGAGGCAGAGGGATTAAAGGCGTGCGCCACCAATGCCCGGCTGCTCACAGCTTCTTTAACAAGTTTCTGGATCTCTGTTGTACTCAAGCACCCCTCTTTTTCCTCCAAAGACCAAGGGTCTCAGGTCTGCAGACTGAGGCCACTTTAAGTAGCCACTTAAAAAAATACATTTATTTTTTGGGGGGGGAGTAGAGGTATGTATGGAAGTCAGAAGACAATTTGTGGGAATCAGTTCTCTCCTTTCTGCCCTGTAGGTCCTGGGGATTGAACTCAGGTCATCAGGCTTGACAGCAAGCATCTTTATCCACCGAATCATCCTGCCAGACCCACAGTGGCTACTTTTTATACCAGAACCACACCCTTGATCTTCCTTTCCCAGGCTCTTTACACACACCAATATACTACATATTCACACCGCAGATGCCTCATATCACATGCGGCATGCACACATGGCACTCACACTACAGGCCACCTCCTATGCGTTGTGTCACAGACACTCAAGCCATGGGCTTAGGCCAAGATGGACACACAGGAGAACGGACTAAGCAAGGGTCTGAATCTTTTATTTCTATAGAAATGAGGTGTGAGGGGAGACTGGAGAACAGCCCTGCTGTATGACAGGAGATGGTATCTTTATTTCTACCTTTGGGGCAGAGGTGGCAGAGCTAGCAGCACAGAGGACAACCTGGACAGGGAGACTGTTCCTTGCCAAAGACCTGTCCTACAGGATCTGGGAGCACCACAGTCAGGACAACAGCATGGAGTTGACATCCTACAGATCTGGTAAGACAGGCAGAAGAGATGCCGTGTATAGTGGTGAATATGATACCTACAGATACAGTCTACCAAGAAGCCGCTGGGTTTAGCTTCAGCAGAATACAGTGGTGGAGCCCTCCTGAATAGGATGGCATGGCCAGAGACCAGTATCTCCATGTGTCACTGACTTGACATTCTAGAGATGAGATGGCCACCTAGTCCTGAACCTAAGATTACAGAATGCCAAGAACTCTTGAGGATCTTGATTTTACCTTCTAGGAACAAGTCTTGGCCTGGTAAAGCTCAGCCAATGAAATCTCTTTGCTAGGAATCAGTGGCTGGGCCAGTCCCTTCTAGGCAGAGGAGGATTTCCTTAGTGGAGGCTCAGGGGCCTCATAGCAAGGCTGGGCTTTCTACACAGGGAGATACAAGTGCTGGGGGCCCAGTATCCAGGAAAGCATGTCCCCACAGGGTATCAGGCAGGTGAGATGACAGGCAAGATCCATCTACTCCTCTCCATTGCCACCTGCAGGGGTGCTGGACACTGCAGCCTCCCCAGGAGTAGGTGGAAGAGCAGGCCTGGGGCTTGATTGTAGAGGCTTCCGCAAGAATGGAAATGCCCTGGGGACAAGAAAGTGCTAAGGTCCTTGGTCTTCTCTCTTGCAGGGTCTTCCCTGCTCAGTGGGTATGGGGCACTGGGGTGGCTCACCGGCGCTTAGTCTCCAGCGGGGTCACAGCTTCCTCCAACAGGCCCTTGTATATGTCAGACTTCAGGAACCTTGGGTAGGAGTCCTGCAGGAGACAGTGTCCAGTCTGACCCTTCCACTTCCTAGCCAGGTCCAGTCAGGCATTGATGGGGCCACCTTCTGCTCAAAGGCCATGCAGAACAGGGTGCTGGGGTGGGGGGTCAACTAACACTACCCCAAAACAAGACCTAGAGAGACCTGGCACCCATTTGGTGGGGCCACCAGATCGCAAAACATGGGCAAGAGGCACTATGTTCACACATAGAGGGATGAGCCAAGCACCTCCAGCCAGGGATGAGGAGCCAGAGTACCTCCACCTCTATAGAGGCAGGGCAACGATGATTCACACCTGTAATCCCAGCACTCAGGAGGCAAAGGGAGGAGGGGCATGAACTCATGGATAGCCTGGGCTACATAGTGAGATTATAAATAAGTAGCCATCCTTTAAAGGGCAGAGCACTCTGTAGAAAAATAGAGAAAGCCTACAAAAACCCACACTATGGCAGGTATAGTGGTGCACACCTTTAATCCCAGCACTCGGGAGGCAGAAGCAGGCAGATCTCTGTGAGTTTGAGGCCAGCCTGGTCTGCAGAGCGAGTGCCAGGATAGGCTCCAAAGCTACACAGAGAAACCCTGTCTCGAAACCCACCCCCCCCAAAAAAAATTAAATCAGGAGGATCATCTACAAGTCAAAGGCCAGCCTGGGCATTTATGCGTACTTAGAGACTGTGACTCAGACAAACTAAAAAACCTCACCAACCGCTCTGAACAAATACTGAGATTCCAGCTAATTGTAGTGCTGGGCATTGGTGGCGCACTCCTTTAATCCCAGCATTTGGGAAACAGAGACAGAGGCAGGCAGATCTTTGTAAGTTCCAGGCCAGCCTGGTCTACAAAGCAAATCCAAAACAATACAGAGAAACCCTGTCTCGAAAAACCAAGAAAAAACAAACAAACAAACAAACAAAAAACAACTGATAGTAGTGTAAAGAATCAAGCTTTGACTCCATCTATACCACTAGATGACCAGAGCATTCACTCAAGGGTGGGGTGGGGAAGGGACAGCCCAGTCAAGAGATAGTAAATAATGCTGGGGTCTGAACACCACCATACTAGTTTACTGAAACCAGGGCAGTGAGTGGCAGAGGCTGTGCTCATTCCTTATGAAGCCAAATAGACAAAACAAAACAAAACAAAAAAAACCACTGAAAGCAGAGTAGGAAGGACTATGATGGCGGGTACACTGGATGTACCCACCTTCTTCATGAGCATGTAGATATGCAATTGTGCTGCATCGAGGACATAGCGGTGTGGCTGGCGCAGCCCCTCCAGGGTGCACTCCATTGTCCGGCTGTCAATGTTGATCCAGCGAGCAGCTCCAGGGGCCAGGAACTGTCTGGGATATAGATGATACAGAGTAGACCCATGCTGGGCCTGAGCGATGGCCAACTAGTTTCCACTTACACACACTTACTGATAGACGGCATCCACCAGGGCGGGGACCTGGGCCTGCCCGCCAAAGCGCAGCTCCTCACATGCCTCCCAGAAGCTGAGGTTTTCCGCTGAGGACAGGGCAACAATCGGGTTTGGGGGTTCTCACTGAGCAGGCTTGAGAACGCCTGGAGCAGGGTCCCGGGTAGTGGCCTCCTTCCCTTGGGAGTGCCAATAGCAGGACGGTAGGCTTCTCACCACTGAACTCTTTCTGGAGAAAATCCATGAAGTGGCCACGCCCCATGGGGTCATCCAGGAGCTCTCGGAAGCTGAAGCTCCATCTCTCAACACGGAGCTTTGTGGGGGCTGTCACCCTGGGATGGGAGTGGTGAGAATGAGAGACAGGAGGCTGCTGATCCTGCTACTGGGAGCATTTGACAGTGCCACCAGAATACCCAGGGCTTACATGGGTGCATTCATGGTCCAGTAGGTGACATCGTCTGTGATCCAAGGGTTGCTGGGCAGGCATCCTGACATGATGGGATCGTGTGGGCCATGCTGGCTACTGAACTTCAGGTACCTGGGGGTTCCAGGGGCCGGTGCAGGGTAGCCTTAGGGACAAAAGGATCTATAAAGGTTCTGGGTTGGGAAGGGTCTCTTGTTGCCCCTCACTCACGCCTCGAGGCAGACAGAGGACTTCACCCGGTTCCTGCCCAACGCCTTCCTGAAGCACTGGATCTAGGACATCAGAGCTGAATCAGGACCTGTGAGGTAAGGTAGGGGAAGGGGGGTGGGCATCCCTATCCCCCAAGTTTCTCAGACCTACCTCACACTTATAGAAATCCGAGCTCTAGGTCTGGAAGACACAGATGGTTTGAGTTACAAAGCAGCCTTCTGGGTTCAGAAATCCTTTCAAGCCACCACCCAGAGCTGAGACCTTGTCCCACCAGGATGTAGCAAAGAATGGCTCAGACCTGCAGCCCAACTTTTGGAGCTTCTTCCTCCTAGCCCTATAGGAGGCCTTTGACAGCCTTTATCTGGAGACTCTGAAGATGTTCTACAAAACTCTAAGGTTCCCCAGGCTACCTAGAAATTCTTCACTTGTTATTTACCTGCCATATTTTCTGACAACTTCAACTATTTTCGTTGTTGAGACAAGGTTTTCTTTAGTTTATTCTGGCCTTGAACTCACAGTGTAGTTGAGGATACCCTTACAGTTGTGAGCCTTCTGCTTTCACCTCCCAAGTAACCACGATTAGAGGTGTCTGCCATCATAAGTGACATTTAAAGTATTTCTGTTTGTTTGTTGTTTGCTTTGGTTTGGGTTTTCAAGACAAGGTTTCTCTGTATAACAACCCTGGCTAGCTTGACTGTCCTGGAACTTGCTCTGTATACCAGGTTGGCCTTGAACACAGAGATCTGCCTGCCTCTGCCTCTGCCTCTGCCTCTGCCTCTGCAAGGAATAAAGGTGTGAGCCACCACACCTGGCTGTTTTGAGACAGTCTATGTAGCCCTTGCTATCTTGGAACTTGCTATATAGACCAGGAGGATGTCCTTGAACTCACAGAGATCCACCTGCCTCCACTTCTCAAGTGCTGGAATTAACAGCACATGCCACCATGCCTGGCCTTTAAAGTCTTTTGAAAAACATGTATACTGAGAAATCCTTGTCTGGGGAGCTGGCTTCAACTTAGTCACAAAGCATCTAGGCATCTCTGTATGGCTGGACTGCAGGAGCCATCCAGTAGACTGACTGACTGTCCCAACTGCTTAGCCACACTGGGCATGGAGCTGAGGTGAATGGTGCCTGTGGCTTCTAACATTTCATCCTAGTCTGCTTTTATATGCAAAAAAGTTAGGGGCTGAAGTTAGCAAGATGCTGTGAGACAACAGGACCTGTTCTAGAGCGTGGGTTTTGGTGGGAGGGACTGATGGCATTGTCACCTGCTAGATTAGTTAGGACCTGACTGGACTGGGTCCTACCTTCTCCAGTTTTCATGTGACCAGAGGCTTTTGGGGGGGTCCCTATGGGCCCAGGTCCCCCAGGCCATATAGCCTTGCTTGTCATCATTTCACATCTCTGGGAATTCTGATACTGTTTCAGCCTGGAGGAAGAGCCTCCCACGCTCCCCCAGGACCACCACTTACTTGCATCCAAGGCAGCAGGTGTGAGAAAAGAGAAAGACAAGAGTTACTAGGGGAGCCTGGGGTAGAGTTCGAGAGGTACTGAGACCAGACACAGCTCAAAAGAGGGAACTTGGAGAGGGCGCATCAGGTACAGTTCGGTGGACCAAAGGGTAACTGGATAAATGAGCAGTCCAATGAACTCTGAAGTGGGTTGAGTTAAAGCAGCAGGCAGTGGGGTGCTGGGGCTGAATGTGAGATGCTTACCATCTGTACTCGACTGGAATTGTAAGAGCCTCTTTCAGGACCCTGCTCCAGAATGTTAGGTGCTCCAGGCTGCAGGAGGATGGTAAGATGTGGTGCTAAGCCCTCCGCCCGCAACAGACTTAAAAACACTTGACTCTTTGGTGTGGGGACTGAGTCTGGACCTGGCCTTGAACACCATCTCTCTACCCACCCTGACTCAGGGTGATCACCTCAGATAGTAAGCAGACCTCAAGCCATGTGCTAGGACCTCAGTTTTCCACGCACTGCTCCCAGCAACCCAGTCCCTCTGCTATAACTGTGCTCAGCCCCCACCTTGCCTCCTGGGACCCTCAAGTCCAACATTAGCTCTTGTGTCTCCCATAGATAGAGTGAAGCTGGTTTGTTCAATGGTCTAGGACTAGAGACAGCCTCAGGCCTGACCATGTCACCTATACATTCTCAATCGAGAAACAAAACAAATTTCCAGTCACCCACCCAGACCCTGAGATGCACCACAACCTTAAGGGGTGTTTTGAGACAGTCTTTTAGCAAAGCACACAGACCCCTTTTGATGGCCAGGCAAACATGAGGACTCACAGGGGGTTTGTTCACCAGCCAGTATGTCTGCTCCTGACACGAAATGACCAGCCTGTCTCCCTTCCGGCGCTGCTTAGCTGCCCTGGGAGGAGTAGGCAGAGGTGAGTGGAAGCTGGTCCTACAACAGCACTGTCCATCCTGAACATTCTGAGCTCAATGTCCAACTAGCTTTGGTTTGGTGTCTCACCGCAGCTGCTCTCGAGCCTGCATCACTACTAGATCCCATGCATGGTTGATCTTCTTGTGCAGCTGGGCATAATGCTCCTGGAGGGCAACAGGATATCCAGTGGGTGAAGTGGGTAACCCCGCACAGGCCTAGCTCTGGAACATGGGCCCCAGCTCTCAGGGACACTGCAGGGAGCTTGTGTGTGTGTGTGTGTGTGTGTGTGTGTAAAGAAACCAGCTCAGCTTGCCCCATGGGATCATAAACAGGGGCTGCCTCCTCTTCTGGGAACCCTGGAGGTACGAAGGCCTTCCCAGTGAGACTTCAGGGACTGAGTAGGGGGCCTAGGCTGTATGCCATGGGCTCAAGGGTTGAGTTTGTGCAGGATTTAGCCTGCTGGAGATCCCACCTTCTCGTAGTCTACCAGGACCCCTTGTTTTTGGATGTTCTTCTTAGCCAGGTAGATGGCTGGAAGGATAGGAACATAATGCAGAGAACCATCACTTTCCAAACCCCATGGCATTGCCCCGGGACCACCAATTCCCAGATTAGATTTATATCCTTCCTACTCACCATAGTCCAGCTCAGAAGCTGGCCACAGAGTGCTTGTCCAGAAGTAGGGTGTCTTGTGTTGTGTAGGGAAAATGCTGTCCAAGACCTTCTTGTCTCTCCAGTTACACCACCACCACCACCACCACCACCACCACCTAATGGCTCCTAGCTAAGGCTAGTCAGAAGGTACATCCTTATCTGGACCAACTGACCATTGTCCATTCTTTCTACCTGGCACTGAGGCCAGTTTGTCCCTTGGGGTCCTGTAAAGGGACTACCTCCACAACTCTGAATGCCTGTACAGCTGACTGGGGAAGTGGAGCCTGATCATGCAAGGTTGTGGTCACAGTCAGAGCTTGGGGTGGACTGGACTCACACACTGAGGTTCTGGGCTTCTATCACCAAATCCAGCAGATAATCTTTCAGAGTTGGGACCTGCTGCTGGACTCAATGCTCAATACTCCACACATTGCCCTTTGCATGACTGCTGCAGCCTTCACAGAAAATTGAAGCTCTCTTGACTTGCCCCTGTCCCAATCTTTTGGGGAGGGTGCAGGTTCAGTCTAGTACATCACTAAGTCCCGCTCCAACCCCAGTAAGCTCCACCCCTCCCCTGGTGGGAGTGCACCCTGCTACCCTGGGCCTGACCTGAAATCTGTAGGGCGTCTCATCAGGCCGGAGCGTCAAGTCTCTAGACTCACGCAGTGGATAGATATAGCCATACTGCGCTAGGAGTGTGCCCAGGTGCAGGGCCTCTGAGGAGAAGGAAAAGTGAGCGCTCCACCAGCGCCCCACCCCCGCACCGCCCCAAGCCGTGGTTTGCAGACTCTCACCCTCCTCCGAGATGCAGAACTTCTGGACCAGCCATTCCACGACGTCTTTGCCTGCAAGGGAAAGGCAAAGTGGGCGGAGACCCCAGCGCCCTGCTCCCCCAGGGTATCCACGAGCCTCACCTGCTACCGCGTGGGGAATGACGGTTATCAAAAGGCGCTGGCTCCGCATCTTCACGCCCTGGTCGGGGTCCTGCATACTCATGACCATCCGCTCCATCTGAGAGTGAGCGCGGGTGGTGGGGGTGGGGAGCAACTCAGATCGCGCGCACTTGTCCCCAGGTTCCCCAGGCTACCGTGCGGGGATAACAAACTGGGGCAGCAAAGGCCCGAACCAGGGCCACCCAGTGCTGTTTTTCTGAACTCTCAGTTCTTTCCCGATGCTGTTCACCCCGCTCACCTGCCACGTTCCACTCCCCCTCTCCTGCCCAAACCCTTTGCCCACAGGCCGAGGGCCCACCTTGCTGAGATGTGACCACTGCGTGCGGGAGCACCCGCCATGGGGTGTGCAGCCCGCAGCCGTGGCCATGGCGGATGTCCGAGAGGAGACGCCCCGCCCCTTGCCGGCCCCTCCCGCCAAGGTTAACCGTGTGAGCACAGGTTCCCGCACAGCCAAGTCACGGGAGCTCTCTCACACGCTGTGACTTGGGATAGCCTGCCGTGGGGGCAGCCTGAAACCTCAGATGCCTGCCAAGCAGAGGAGCCTGCCTTGGTCTGGTGGCTGGCTACCTACCTCAAGGCTTGGTCTTGGAGATGGGACATATCACCAAAGCTCTGGAAAATGACAGGTTTTCATCAGGGTGGAAACAGTAAGAAAGGATAAAGTCTAGAAAGGATGGAGGACTCTATCAGAGGAGCCTGTGGCCAGGTGGACCAGGTTGGGAGCATTAGTTTAGAGTCTTGGCAGCCACTACTCCATCCGTGGGCCCTTAAGGAGTGCAGGGGCCAGCAGAGTCAGGGGTTTGGGGTCAAGACTTTAGTTTGACTGGCCTGAAGAGTATCCTTTCAAACATGTGGCACCATGTATGGCCTGTGTGGAGCCACAGGGAGGCATGATGTAGGCCACACCTGGCAGGATTGCTAAAAGCATTTATTTATAAAAGCATGAATGAGTCGTTTCTTCTTTCCTGAGGATAGGGTGCCCTCTTTCTCTTCCTAAGGAATGCTGGGAGGGAGCCAAAGGAGGGGGAATTGGCCTTACTGAGACCAGGAAACTTCAAACTGCTATTTGATTGATTCCAATGGATCAGGGGCTGGAACAGTGAGTGTTCTGCCTAGGTAGGTTACATCACCCATAGCTCCCAGCCTACTCATGCCCCCCCCCACTTTACCTACACACAATGTCAGGCTCACCACAGGCCTGCTGTTCTTCCTGCATGAGTAGGCATCTATGGAGGTTTCAGGCTGCTGGCAGCTGAAGCTATCCCAGCTAAGGACAAGTAATTTTACATACTTCCTGTAGGGCAGGGGTGGGTCTCCCTGGCATCCTGTGCCTCCTTGCAGGATCTTGCTTTGGAAAGGTAGTGGTCAGTGTGGTCACTAGCCCAATGCCTCAGCATTAATCGTTGCCTGCAAAGGTGGGTCTGATCCCCGGTTATGCCTAGAAATGTAAGACACTATTTTACACAACTTCCTTACTCAGATCCAAACCTTTGGTCCTGCCGTCCTCAGCTGAAGGCCCAGCTCACCAGCCACCTGCCTTGGCTAATCGACATCCCCTCCCATCCGTAGGTTTCCACTAGATGTCAAGATTAAGAAATCTCTCAGCATCCACTTTCTGTTTCTTCAGTGTCCTTTCTTTTCCCAGTCATAGGAACCTGCAGAATTGTCTGGGTCCCCGGGTCCCCACAGACCCCCCCCCCCACACACACACATACACACACACATTCACAGTCTGCACCAATAAGCTTTAAGGGACCCTTGAGTCTATGTGGCCCAGACTGCACTTCACAGTGTGTGCCCAGAACCAACAGGGTGTGGCCCAGCTGGAGGCTGATAGGCCCCAGGAGACCCTTTTGCCCAAACAAGAGGGAGGGAGCAGGTGGAGGGTTGCGGGGGGCTCCAGGTGTGCTCTGCGCCGTCTGCTGATAATGGGAGTCCAGGGACGTGGGGGAGTAGCACCTGTTCCAC